GAGAATCCGGCAGGCCACTTGCTCTGGTCCTCGAATCTCTTGGTGTATGGGGTTCATAGGAAGCCCTGGACAGATTGGGGGCGACTATGGGACTGCACCAAGACATGGCAGTGATGTTCCTGTCCAAGAAACCTTTACGCCTTCAAATGTACACGCAGCAGGTGAGGCCCAAACACTGCTTCTGTGGCAGCCACTCCCAGGCCTGCCCCGCCCCCCCCTGGGCCTGGTCCCTGCAAAGCTGGAGGGATTGTGTGTGTGAAGAGAGAGGGAACTGGGGGGTGGTGGAAAGCAGGATGGTCACGCCATTCTCCTGCCTCAGCCTCCCAAGTAGCTGGGACTACAGGCGCCCGCCACCTCGCCTGGCTAATTTTTTTGTATTTTTAGTAGAGACTGGGTTTCACTGTGTTAGCCAGGATGGTCTCGATCGCCTGACCTCAGGATTCGCCCGCCTCGGCCTCCCTCTCTCTTCTGTTTCTTTCCTCCCTCTCAGTGTTGCCGTCTCTCTGTTTTGGCCTTTGTGTGTCTGTCAAGGAACTGTCCCATTTAAAACAACCTGCAGCAGAAGGAAGAAGAGCACCGGAGAAAACCTCCAGCCATTCCTCACTGGCTGCTGAGGTTTCCGTGCACGCTCTGCCCGCAGCTTCCCTGCTCAGTGCCCAGGGTGCTTAGCTGGGCAGGCTCCGGAGGGGCTGGGTAGGGTACACAACACTTCCCTGGGGCGCAGGAAGAAAATATGACAAGTTACATGGGTCTGTCTCGTTCCTTCACATTTTCCATCTTATGTGCTTTAGAATGGACGTACTGTATCCATTCAACAGTAGAGGTATGTAATTTATAAATCAAATATGTATATTGGACTTGCTTATTTAAGATTTTTTTTTTTTTTTTAACCTGAACAAGGGCACAATCAATAAAGTTTGAAGCACCTTGGAATCTCCTCCTTATCCTGGTGTAGGAGTAGACAAATCTCTTTCCTTTGGACTACAGCTGAGTTGTTTAGCAGGGAAGCTGTGTGCCAGGAAGCTGAGAGAGAAAGAAAATCACAAAAATAAAATATGGAAGCTGCAAGGGTTTGCATTCCTGGAGTGCATGCTCTTCCCCGGCACAACCGGCCTGCTTCCCCTGCAGTTCCTCCTCCCAGGACTCTCCCCTGGGCCCAGCTTCCCACAGGGTGGGCCGAGGGCCATCCCAGGAGGTGACATGGTAGCGGACACTGGAGACACGGAGGCCTCAAAGGCAGCGGATTGTCTCACCCCAGAGTTCAGCGTCCATCCCTACCTTGTTCCTGTCTGTGGTGACTTTTCCACTTCTGTCCTTCCCTGGGCTGGCTCCGCAGTTCTCTTCTGCCTGGACTTTGCAGTCGTGGCCTCCTGGTTCCTGTCTCTCTGACCTTAGAGGAGTGTAGCACATCAGAACTGGGGGAAACCCAAAGGCCATCTGGCCTCACCTCCTTTCTCAGATGAGCAAATTGAGGTCCAGGGGGAGGATGTGACATGTCCCAGGGTATACAGGACCGGGACAGAGGGGATGCCACCCGGGATTTCTCCCTCCCCTCAAATAATTATTTCTACGTCGTGGGTTTGCACATCTGTGAGTGAAAAATAACAATATTGATTGCTGAGAAGTTGTGAGGATGAGAGAGGAAGTAAGGCTAAAAACACAGTCTGCTGCATTTCCTAGGGCTTACTTCCCCGGAGGAGAGGACCAGCTGCTTCCCCTTCTTCCAAAGATCTCCAACCCTGGTAGGGATTTGGGTCAGAAATGAAGAAGGACTTCGGACTGAGGAACTAAAAAATAACGAAAAATTAACCTTATAGCAATTTGGAAATAGAGGGAAGGGGATGCAGTTCATACAGCTTTTTTTTTTTTTTTTGGGGGGTACAATACTTATTGAGATAATTTATTCATTAGGTATCACTCATTTAAAGCGTACAGCTTCATTTTAGTCAATTTTATTTTTTAGTTTTTAGTTTTAGTATAGTCCAGAGCTTGTGCAATCATCACCACCATCAATTTTGGAATTTTTTTTTTTTTTTTTTGCGAGACGTGAGTCTCCGCTCCTGTCGCCCAGGCCTGGAGTGCAAGTGCGATCTCAGCTCACTCGGCAAGCTCCCGCCTCCCGGGTTCCAACGCATTCTCCTGCCTCAAGCTCACCAGTAGCTGGGACCGTAACAGGCGGCCCGCCACCCACGCCCGGCTAGTTTTTTATATTTTTCAGTGAGACGGGGTTTCACCCAATGCTTAGCCAGGATGGTCTCGATCTCCTGACCGCTCGAGGGGGGAGGGGGGGGAGGGGGGGGGGGGGGGGGTGATCCGCCGTCTCGGCCTCCAAAGGGCTGGATTACACGGCCCTTGAAGCCACCCGCGCCCTGATCTGGAATATCTTTTAGTGTTCCGAAAAGAAACCTTGTACTCACTCAGGCCGGGCATGGTGGTTCATGCCTGTAATCCCAGCCATTTGAGAACAGGCCAAGGTGGGCAGCATCACCTTGAGCCCAGGAGTTCACACCAACCTGCGGCAACATGGTGAAACCCTGTCTTTACAAAAAAATTAGCTGGGGCATGGTGGTGCAACACCTCATACGTCCCACGCCACTTGGGAAGGCTGAGGTGGGAGAATCACCTTGAGCCCAGGAGGTCGCAGGCTGTAGTGAGCCATGATCAGGCCACTGCACTCCGCCTGGCAATGGAGTGAGACCCTGTCCTCAAAAAAATAAATAGATAAACCTTGTACTCATTAGCAACACCCAAGCTCTCCCCTCCCTCTTCCACCACTGCGCCAGCCCTTGGGCAACCACGATTCTTTCTTTCCTCTATGGATGCCTATTCTGAATCTTTTTTTTTTTTTTCAGAGACAGCAATCTCCCTCTGTCGCCCAACTGAGAGTGCAGTGGCGCAGTCTCGGGCTCACTGCACAACCTCCACCTCTCAGTTCAAACAATTCTCCCTGTCTCAGCCTCCCAAGTACCTGGGACATACAGGCCCATGCCACCACGCCCGGCTAATTTTAATTTTTTAGACAG